GGCCGAAAAATAACTCAAAACTCGATAAGAAAACGCGACAACACGAATTTTTGGTTGCACTTTTTGATTGTGCTTGATGTAATATATTGGGTTTGGGCCCTGTTTTCTGAGTGATAGTATCCATAAGTTAAAGCTGTTTGGTTTCATTTTTTTGGGCAACTTGATACAAGCCTAATAAAACTAATAATCTGTTTGGTTCACATTTTGTTCAGCCAAATACAAACTTCATTTTTGGGGTTCTGCCCATTTTGACACCAAACAAGAAAATATCGTAGAAAAAAGGAAGAAGACGATTTCACTCCAAGCCAGTCGATTTCACAAAAAATTCGATAAGACGCTCTTCTACTCCAACGAGAAGACGATTTCCACTTTTTTAGAATCGGCGCACCCAACGAAGAGGTCGAATTCCACATTTTGAGTTTTGACGCACCCATCGAAGAAATCGTTTTCTTGTCATAGCTCTCAAATCGATTTTTGCGAGCTTCTTCAGGTCAGTTAATTTTATTTTGGTTTAATCGAAAACGTTTCATTGCCAAATTATAATTAAATTGTTGTGTTAAGGTTTAATGCTTTATTTTGTTCACTGAGTTGGGGAAATTAACCTAAATTAGGGTTCCTCTTCATTGAGCTCAACAATCTCAATTTCCAATTTTTGCATTTTTCAAAGGTGCTTCTTTGATTAATAGTGTGTAAATCATTTGTCCTAATTCTTGCTTCCGTTTTTTTCCGTAAATCAAAAGGTGATTCAAATCAGCGAAGCCGATTTCTAACAAGATCTCAACCCGAATTCTTGCTTCTGAAAAACAACCATGTCGTCTTCTTCTTCATCGTTTGCTTCTCGTCACAGGCCGATGGTATTTTGTAGGTGTGGGAAGCATGCACAAGTTCGAACTTCTTGGACACAAGATAATCTTGGTAGAAGGTTTTATGGTTGTCAATATTGGAAGGTTAGAATTTGAAAATAACCCAAATCTCTTAACTTTCTATGAAATTTACTTATTGTATTTTTTTCATTACTTTGGTAGGAGGCCGGATGCAAATTTTTTAGTTGGCCTGATGGTCCAATTTGTGAATAAGGTATGGTTCTAATTCCATATTTGAAGGACAAAGCTCAGAAGCTAGATAGAGTAATTGCACATTTAGAAGAAGGAACTTGAAAGCTGGAGGAAGAAAATACAATGTTGAATGAGCAGAAGGCCAAATTGGAAAGTGAAGTTTCATACTTAGAAGAAGTGGTGAAGCAATTAACTGGGAAAAAAAAGATTCTGGGATCAGCTTTGTTTGTATCCTGGGCTTTCTTCTTGATTGTCAAGATTTTTTTATTAAGTTGGTTGTTATTAGTTTATTGTTATTAGCTGGTTGTTACTAGCTGGAAACTTTTATTGTTATCTTTCCATAATGTTCATGCAAAGTTTTGCATGAAATGTTATTGTCACTGTATTTGTAGTTTGAATTGGTTATTCACTCTTTCTGAAGTGGTTATTTTGTACTGTGAATTGGTTTCTTAGTTTTTCTACATTGAATACAAATGTTGGGATTTGGATTATATTTGAAGAACAAGGATATATTGAGCAGTTGAAATGATATTGCAATCATGAATATGTTTGGTGTGCTGAAATAGAATTGACTCATGAATGTGCTTTGTGTTGACATGATATTGAACTAATGCATATGTTTGGTGTTGAAGACATGAATTTGTTTGGTGTGTGGAAATGTTATTGAACTCATGAACATGTTTGTTATTTTCCTAATTAAGGGAAACTTTTGACTAGATCAAATACTTGTATCTTGAAGTACAAATATAAGTAAAGAATCTAACAAGTGCTAGAGAAA